GAACAAAAAATAATAAAATAAATTATTTTTTTAAAGTGTCATATCCCTCCCCTCAAATTAACTTGGAACAAAAAATTCTTCCTCTTCCACCTCAGGCACTCTCTATTCTCTTATGTCTGCTTTATTTTCTTTTAGCACTATCACTTTCTAAAATGATCTCATCTGCTTGTTGACTGTCTGTTTGGGGATAGTGTCTTGGTCCCCACTGTTTTCCTAGAGCTTAGAGCAGGGCCTGACACAGAGGAGGCACTCAGTAAATATTTTTTTAATAAATTAAAATAAGGCAGATAACATTTCATGATGAGCCATCATATAGTATAGCTCTCCATGTACCTATGTTTTTATTCTATTTATTTGAAATTTTTATTTTAGTTACTCAATTACATGCTGATTTATTCAAATGGAAACAAAGTTTTTAAAAAGTCAGTTTATACAAATGGCTCTATTTACACAGTTAAATAAGTCTGTATTAGTCATCTAGTGCTGCAGTAACAGAAATACCACAGTGGATGGCTTTAACAAAGAGAAGTGTATTCTCTCACAGTCCAGTAGGCTAGAAGTTCTAAGTCAGGGCACCAGCTCCAGGGGAAGGCTTTCTCTCTCTGTCGGCTCTGGAGGAAGGTCCTTGTCATCAATCTCACCCTGGTCGAGGAGCTTCTCAGGTGCAGGGAACCTGGGTCCAAAGGACTCACTCTCCTCCCGGTGCTGCTTTCTTGGTGGTATGAGGTCCCCTACTCTCTGCTTGTTCCCTGTCCTTGTATCTCTTGTAAGATAAAAGGTGGTGCAGGCCACACCCCAGGGAAACTCCCTTTACATTGGATCAGGGATGTGACCTTAGTAAGGGTGTTACAATCCCACCCTAATTCTCTTTAACATAAAATTACCATCACAAAATGGAGGACAACCACACAACACTGGGAATCATGGCCCTGCCAAATTGATACACACATTTTTTGGGGGGACATAATTCAATCCATGACAAAGTCCAAATGCATTTTGAAATTTGAAAAAGGTATAAAAATCTTCTGCCATCAAGTTGACTCTGTCTGACTCATGGCTACCCCATGTGTTTCTGAGTATGAAAGAGGTATAGGTATTTAGTACTACTTTGAGATATGATTTCTGCTTTGAATTTGCACTCACCTATAATTTTGTAACTTAAAGCGCAACAAATATAGAATGCACCTAGCTACCCAGTTTCCTTCCCCAGAGGCAAAAAACAACAACAACAAAAAAAACCCCACCAGTTTCTTGTACATACTTCTTGAAATAGCCTATGAGTATACTAGCAAATATTTATTTCTTGACTTTTCTTACATAATTGATAGTATACAATAGTCAAGGTTTTATACTTTGTTTCCTTGTTTTTGTTTGCTTGGTTTGTAGTTTTGTTTACCTACTTAATATATCTTGGGGCTTCCTCATTTTCTTTTGACTGTATAGTACTTCATTGTGCAGCGGTATCCTAATTTATTTAAATAGTCTTCTACATTGACATTTAGATTGTTTTCAATCTTTTGCAATTGCAAACAGTGTTGCAACTAATAACCTTGTACACATGTCATTTCACCCATATGTAAGCATATCTATAGGATAGATTCCTAGACAAGTGTTAGGATCTTAGAAGAAGCAATAAATAGCACTCCTCATCCTTATCCAATTTCTGAACAAATTGAGAAATAAGACAAAAGAGTTAGGGAGATCAATGATCAAAATATCACCTTTATTACTGGATAAAAGCTGATGTTGATAAAAGCTGGCTTACATCTGCAGACAAGAGAGCTTCCTAATTCCCTTTCCATTAATTATAGGCAATGCTGGTCAGCTACAGGCCTCCTCATGCAGTCTTTAGATTGAGAGAAGCAGTCCATGTTTATCCTTTGCAAATTTACCGATCAGAGAAGTGACCCTCCTTCCTTAGGGAGGAGCAAGTGAAGCTGTGGAGAGAGACCAGGGGTGTTAAGCTAGTAAAGCTACTTCTGCCTGGAAGAACACATCAGCAGAGGAGAAGTGTTCCCACCTAACAAAGTACGCTTCTGGTTCATTTTCATTTGTAATTTTGATACATTTTCCTAAGTTGCCCTCCAGAAGCATATGTTTACATTTCTTCCAGGTGAGCATAAATAGAGACCCAAACACATATGAAAACTTAGTATATGATAAGCGTTTCCCAATTATCTTTCATTGTCTATTCATGACCCAGTACCTCAGAGTTTTTCTTTAACTCTCCTTATTTTGAAATATAACTGTCTTAGTTACCTAGCGCTGCTATAACAGAAATACCACAAGTGGATGGCTTTAACAAAGAGAAATTTATTTCTTCACAGTAAGGTAGGCTGAAAGTCCAAATTCAGGGCATCAGCTCC